TTTTATTTAATTAATATATGTATCCTGTAAAACCGTTATAAAGTCCGGCAATTATTAATTTTATTGGTATATAACTTATCGGAATTCTTTGTTAAAATTGATAGGTCCACAGATATAAATATTGAAATAGAAATACAAAATTTCTATTCACATCTCATAAAATCGTTAGAAGGACGTAGGTGACCTACATCCAAGCCAAATACACGGCACTGCTTCGTTTCTAGGTACATCACTACTCATACATACAACTTTGAAAAAATTATATTTAAATTAAAAGACATTAATGCACACGTAAATAGAACATTAATATATAAATTGCGCATAATTTAAAGAAAAAAAAGAGTGGATTGATATCTTTTTTAACATTTAAATGCCGATATATAGGCTCAGTAATGTGTGCATACGTATACACACGCATATATAATTCAATGCGGTTAGTTGATGCTCGAATCCAAAGCTCTGAATCAGATTATCACCTTTATGAGAGAATGACATCTGTGTTTCACGTAATGGAGTCTTTTTTTCCCCATAATAGAGTTATTAATACTTTGATCCCTGCGAAAAATAAATTAACGGCTACTACCTCCGGTTTTTAATATAAGACTTTATTTAATTTTTATTTTGGTTCTAAATATAATATCCTAATATATTTTGTTTTTCATATTTATATATATATTTTTCAAAGTAGTCCTTCTAATAATAATAGTTCTAACTAATATATTTGATTAGCAAGCATATTTAGGAACGACAATACATATTTAGGACAAATAACTAATTCAACTTACTTCTTTAATTTCTTCAAATTAGTGAACTAGCTTTTATAATTAGGACTAAAGGTAGTATGTTATAAATATCAACAAAATTTTTGAGAGAATCACAATGAGGTTCTAATAAAAAAAATTATAAAACAAGTCTCAGAAGTTATTATATTCTACTATGAAACTTATCAATATAACTTGTTTAGGTTGTTATTAAGACTTTTTCGTAATTATTTTCTTTTCTTAGGATTTTATTGGAATTTTTTCAAAATTTTTTGAATCAGTGGCATATTTTAACGGGAAGTTTACCCTGGCATTTAGTAAGGACTTGTTTAAAATGGTTTAAAAATAAATGTTTAATCATGATTTATGAAATAAAACATCTATAAATACGTGAGAAAAGTTTTATCATCACGTACATATTTAAATAACCCTTATATAAGATTTCGTATTGCAGATCAAACACAATAAATAAAGGGGATCAATTTGCCTACAAAAGTGAAAACACAACCATGACATGAGGGCCTACAAATCGACCCGCATTTCCAGACCGTAGATTTTTTCATTTCCTTTTTTGCGCGGGGTAAATGATTGAGCACATTCTTATAATTAGTCCTGGATTTTGAAAAAAATGCCTTGTGTTGTATGTTGTTTATTGATGACATTCGTTAGTTTCTTTTTCCCTTTTACTTTTATGTTTGTAGCCAATTAAGATGAACAAAACATTGTAAATTTATAAGTAACGCTACTTCGTATAATTTCTGCTCGTATCTACATTTTCATCAATTTTAATCATTAAAATTGGAATTTAAATGGGTCAGATTTTATATTATATGAAATATAATTTTATAAAATATTTCTATTTCCTGATATTAGCAATGTATAGCGGTCAAATAGGATCATTTTCTTCTCAAGACATTTTACTTTTTTTCATATTGTTTTAAATTATCATAACTAAAATTTAGTAGTTTAATTTTATTTTTTTCAAAAATTAATATTCTATTCATAATTTTATAAAATATGAAATCTCAACTATTCAAATTGCAACTTTATGGTTGAGACGAGAAATGGAAGGAAATAGATAGAAAGAGAAGTTGAAACACCCTTATCCCACATTGACATCGTACAATTGAGAGTTTACGTGCAAATTGATTTTCCTACAGGTTGAACTTATTTATTATTGGGTTCCCAGAGGGGGATACAACACGCACACACACGTTTTACCCGAGGCCGTATGTTCCATGAAACCTGATGCAAGTTACACTATTTAAAATATTCATTTTCTCAAGTAAAGAGTGTTTAAAATACATGCTGAACGTTCAACATATTTATTGTTGGCGGCACCTGTAAAAAATAATAAAAATATGGTTCGAGTCGTGTTTAAGGGCACTGTTCTTAAGAGTTATTCTGTCACACAGATTAAAATAAAAAGCAAGACTCCCTATGATTAAACAAACTCTTTTTGCATAGAGCAAGTTATCAGAATAATGAAAATTTTTAAAATATTCATTTTCTTAAGTAAAGAGTACTTAAAATATATGTCGAACGTTGAATATATTTATTGTTGGCAACACCTATAAAAAATAATAAAAATATGGTTTGAGTCGTGTCCAAAAACACTGTCTTTAAGAGTTATTCCACCACACAAGTTAAAATAAAGTGTGGTATTTCCCAAGATTAAATGAACCTTCTTGTGTAGAACAAGATGACAGAACAATATAAATTTAAAACTCAAAAGAGAGAGAGAAAGGAGGAGAACTCAACCCCACTAACCATGCACCACACGTTGCTTTTTATAGGCTAATAAGATGTGACCATTGGGCTATCATAATAGTAATTAAAGAGGGTTTTAATGATAATTAAAAGGACGGTTTTAAAACAATTAATTAAGGTGAATTAAAACATTTTAACGCAATTAAATCTGATTAATGAAGGAATAAAACTGACTAATTAAAATACATAAATGCTTCAATAGTCATCTCTATCAATTCTATGGACTCTTCTTCTTAGTTATTTTATTAGCTCATGCTCACATCTTAGTAAATACTAAGGTTTTCTCGATCTTAAGTAATATGAGACTTTTTTGGAATTGGATTCTCTCCACTACCCTTCTTATCCTCTTCCCCTCCACCACCCTCCTTTTCTCTTCACAACCATTGGATCAAAACTCCAATGATCCAGATTTAATATTTTATAACATTTTATAAAAATAAATATTATGATAAAAAATAGATAAATAGATTTAAACTGTTAAAATCTAATCTGAACAGTTCATAACTACAGACTGTTATTATAAAGCAATTTTTGTTAATTTTTTGTAATTACAATTATAAACTGTTCAGGCCAGTTTTTAACAGTTTAAATTTATTTATCTATTTTTTTAATAACATTATTTTTTATAAGATGTTAAATCTAGACCATTGGAATTTTAATATAATGGTTGTGAAGAGAAAAGAAAGGTAGTGGAGGGGAAGAGGATGGGAAGGTAGTGGAGAGAATCCAAGTCCGATTTTTTTTGACACATTCACACACTAAAACTCCAACATTTATCACCTATAATACCCTCTTCAATTCCAACAATTATATGGTGCTACTGCTATATTAAAAGGAAATGACTTTTTTTGAATTAATATATAATTTTGAATTAATATATAATTTATGTTCCCTTTCATTCATTGAACTTCATCATGTTTCCTTACATTGATAAATATGAGATAAAGTCTTTCTGATTCAGGCGAAACTCATTATTTAATTTGAACACTTACGTGTTAATTAAAATATTCAGTCTGTATAATAATAAAGATGCCCCTGGGGATAGACAATAAGTGCCCTGTTCTCTCTGTCGTTGTCCTCATCGTCCTTCCCCAAAGTCAAACAAGGAAACAAGTCGTAAATTACGAAGAGATGCGATTTTTCTCTCTGAGAGCTTTGTCTTATTAAGTGGATGCGTTGATTCTATTTATAATTTCTTGCTATTAGTTTTTGCTCGTTTAAATAAAAAAATGAGAAGGAAATGAAGTTTTGAAGTCCATGTGATTCTTTTAATTAGGTTTTTTTTTTATAGACAAAAGTTATCTATAAACTTGAATTATCATATATAAGTAATTTGATTAAAGCTTTTTTTTTTTGGTGATTTGAGACAAATGGATCCCCCGTCCTTGCTTGGGTAGGGGGCCAAGTAAGGGGGAATTTTTTAATACTTTCTTTTTTCCTGCCTCAAAAAATGTGGAATTTGGTGGGGAGGGCTTTTTTTATTTTTTTTACCCAAGGTATCTATCTTCGGTAAAAGTGACTAATATTCTCGCACCACAAACTTCTTGAAAGGGTCCATCAAGAATCGAACCCCTAACTAAATGTTTAAAAGAGAGTTGTTTAGATTAAAAATATCTCAGATATATATTCTAGGAGGCCCGATCTCAAACTTCGATGAAAGCAAGCCCAATATCAACTTGGGCTCTTAAAGAAATCTTGAGCCTCGATTATGAAGGCTGGGGGCAGAAAACAAAAATGGTAACGGAGAATTGGGTTAGGAGAAATGAAAGCCCAAAATAAAAGAGCCCATGTGGTTCTAGGCTTTTAGCTAACCGTGGCCCCTTTGTATTGATGAGTTTGTCATTGTAAGCCCTTTTTCTTAGGCCGACCGAGCTTAAGAGCTGCTCAGGCTGAGCAAATAGTGAAGCTCATCTTGACCCTAATAAATTTTTGAATATAACTTGACCCTAATAAATTTTTGAATCTAACTCATCTTATTCTTGAAAATAATAAAATTTCTACCAAGGGATAGAAAATTATGCATGATAACATAAAATAAAGGAAAAAGATATACATTTTACAAAATATAAAGGGAAACTGTAAAAAAAAAAATGAAAATTTATTGGCGAAATGTACTTAAAGATCTAAGTCCATGAGCGGGCACAACTTTTTTTTTCAGCTCTATATGCAAATGTCTTTTATGTCTCTTACTTCGTACATTGTATAAGATAAGTTGCAAAGTTGAAGAAAAGTAGGTTGTACTTGTTTCTTAAACAAATTTAAAGTAATTTTGAATAATAAATTTTGTCATGGAGGGTTTTTCAAGAGTTATTTGTAACTTATAAAAAATTGGAGAGTATATTTTTATGATTATTATTTAAAAAATGTCTTTTGTTTTTGCCGGAATTTTTCTCATTTCACCAGATCGCAATCCTTTTTGTTTCTTTATTTTTTCGCACGCCAGAAAAAGATTTTGGACCAAAAGGCTTCGTGCGGTGCTTGGCGATGTAATCAGAGCGAAGAGAAGCAGCTGCTCAACGGAGTCCAACTAACACAAAGTTGAGCTCCCTCGTATTCTCCGCCCCCTCCATCTTTGCCTTCTACTTCTTCATTCCCTCTCTTATTCACTCAATTCCTTTCTGTTCTCCTCCTTCCCGCTCGCGTTTCCACATTCATTCGTATTCCTTCTCTGCCATTTCCCTCCATGGCTTCTCTCTTTCTTTCCACCACCACGGCTTCCCCTGCCACCTCCATTTCTTTCTCCTCATCTCTCTCCACCTCCCTCTCATGGCGCAAATTCTCCGCATTACCTTCCATGCCTCGCCGAAGAGTCTTCTCCGTTCAATCCAAGATCCGCGAAATCTTCATGCCCGCCCTCAGTTCCACCATGACAGAGGGAAAGATTGTCTCCTGGGTGAAATCTGAAGGGGATGTTCTCTCCAAGGGTGAGAGCGTCGTCGTGGTTGAGTCCGATAAGGCTGACATGGATGTCGAGACTTTCTACGATGGGATTCTCGCCGCTATTGTAGTTGGCGACGGCGAGACTGCTCCCGTTGGTGCTCCCATTGGGCTGTTGGCGGAGACGGCAGAGGAAGTTGCCGAAGCCAAAGCCAAGGCAGCCAAATCCGGCTCTTCGGCCCCTGCCGGCGAAGCTGCTCCTGTTGCTCCCACTCCTCCACCAGCCACTTCGAATCCTGCTCCGGCGATCGCTCAGCAATCTCCTCCGCCGGCTAAGGTGGTTTCTGCTGAACCAGGAAAGACCGTGGCGACTCCTTATGCAAAGAAGCTTGCGAAGCAGCACAAGATAGATCTTGGATCGGTCGTTGGTACTGGTCCTTTCGGGCGGATTACTCCTGCTGATGTGGAGGCAGCTGCTGGAATCACACCTTCCAAGAGTAACGTGGCTAAGGCTGCTGAGCCTGCTCCGGCGGCCCTTACTCCATCAAAAGCTGCTGTTCCTGCTGCCTCGGCAGCTTCTCCACCCCCAATTCCAGGTTCTTCGGTGGTTCCTTTCACAACAATGCAAGCTGCGGTTGCGAAGAACATGGTGGACAGTCTTACTGTACCTACATTCCGAGTGGGGTATCCTGTGAAGACTGACGCACTTGATGCTCTATATGAGAGGGTACATACGCTGAATGCATTCTTTCGTTTGTGATGCTAGCCATATATGAGGTTTCAAATGCACATTTAGTATTTGCTATTTCATTTGTAGGTGAAACCGAAGGGAGTGACGATGACGGCCATTCTAGCAAAGGCCGCAGCGATGGCTCTTGCTCAGCATCCGGTTGTAAACGCTAGGTGTAAAGATGGAAAGAATTTCTCCTACAACAGTAACATAAACATTGCTGTTGCTGTGGCAATCAATGGCGGTTTAATTACACCTGTTCTTCAGGATGCGGATAAGGTCCGTGCTTTATGAATCCTGATTTTTGAATCAAAACTTTCACTTAAGAATTTGTTTCTGTTATCAACTTCCCAGTGTTGTTGAAATACCAAGTTTATTGGTTTCTTGTTTTGTTACTTCAGTTGGATCTATATCTGCTGTCTCAAAAGTGGAAAGAGCTAGTTGAAAAGGCTCGATCAAAGCAGTTGCAACCTCATGAGTATAATTCAGGTTTCACAGGAAGTTATATGTCTTTTTCTAATTCTTATTTCAAAAAAACTTGAATCTCTCATTCCATGTTAAACTGCGTCCTTCTGTCCACAGGAACTTTCACCCTTTCCAATTTGGGCATGTTTGAAGTCGATAGGTTTGATGCCATACTTCCTCCTGGGCAGGTAAGGAGTGCGATCAAAGACTCCAACTCATGACTTCTAAAGAATCTGTGCTTCATTTTGTGGTAATTTTGCTTTTTACTGAACTTTGCCGTTCATTTGTTAGGGGGCTATCATGGCTGTTGGCGCATCAAAGCCTACTGTTGTGGCTGATTCAGATGGATTCTTCAGTGTGAAAAATAAAATGCTGGTAAGTTATTGACTTATAATTAAATGGTTTATTGTGTTAACCTGCAAGTTATTTGTTCACTTACTTATTCTTAGAAAAACAAATTCATGTAGCGAACATAGAAGTGTGCTATTTTGGTGGAGATAGGCTTTTTAGTCAACAAAATACTCCCTCTTATCCGTAGCATAAGTCTCTTTTCACTATTTCTCATGGATTAAGGAAAGTAGTTAAAAGTAGTTTAGATTCTCAAAGTTGTCGAAAATTATCTCTACTTTTTAGTATTATCCTCCAATCAAAACCAACCTATATAAAATATTTATTTTCTTTCTTGTATCATCTCCCTCTACACCACAATCAGTAAGGGCATTTGTGGAAAAAAGAAGTTAATGCTATTGATTTTTTTTTTCAAAGTGACTTATATTTTGACCATATAAACCTTCTAAAACACGACTTATATTAAGGACGGGGGAAGTGGTTTACAATGGATGATAGGTTGAAAAAATGGATTGATAAGAATGCTTAACCAAACTCTCCAACACAACAAATATTATACGCATTTATCTTACAACAACTACCCTCTCAAGTTTGTATATTCTCTGCTTTCTTTGAGAAATAGTTTCACTCAAGAAGCACAATGTTCTTTTCTGGGAGTGTGGGCACTTTCTTTTTGTGTAAGCTTGTTTCAAAAAGGGCAGTAATGTGTTGCCACTTACAGCCGTTTATATCAATGTGGTTTAACGATTTATGTACTAGGCTGGCTTAGATAGCATAATAGAGTGAGAAATTGTGATTAGTATTGATCGAAATTACAACACATTCAAGTAGTGTTAATGAATAACTAGATTTTCTGGTGATCTACATCCTGGATTGAAATATGTCAGGCTTTAGACAAAACTTGGCCAATATAATTTTCTTGACAATATTATGGCACATTATCAAAAACAGAATTGTACCGAATATCCATGTACTAAGGCTAGTTTGCCTGTGATGCATTGGATCTTTGGGTAGGCGAAATGCACTTCACCAGTCACCGTGGACTATGGTCATTCCTTTACCCCTGCTGAACTAACTAAACAAACTTGCAACCATGTAGTCTCCTTGGAGGTTAATGTCATGACCATCATCTCCAACTAACTGTATAATTACCAAACATGAGCATATAGCCTGTGAGAGATCTTTGCTTGTCTAAGTCCCTCCTGTGGTCTAAATGTACAAACCCTTCATCTTCTTAAGTTCCAGTTAAATTCAAAATCCAAATCTGCAGTACTTTTTACATGCCTTGGAATCTACGTCATTGTGCCTTTGTCTTTTTAGGTTTCCCATATAACAGGTAAGTACACTGACTGGTGACGGTGCTAGCTATATCATGCTCTCTAGTGATTTGGCATGGAAAAAGCAAAAGCTTTGAGTAAACCTTTAGTAGCCCATGGTTGCACCACCAATTTGTTGTGGTGAGAGGAAGAGGTCCAAATGCAAGTGGGCTGTGCACATAAATGTTTGGTACTAACTTGTCCAACACCCAACATTATCTTAAAAGGCAGTTTTGCCCAGAAAATCAGTGCCAAGGAAAATATCTTACTTATATGTTAACAAAGCCTCCAGCAGTTGCCAAGTTAAAAAACTGCTTGACCTGGATTTGCTTTTTTGGGCAATCAAGGTTGGCCAGGTACTTTGGAGGAAGGAGTAGGCAAAAGTTTTGGTTGAAGCTTTATATATTTAATTCCATTTGAGATGGAAATTTTGTTGATATGGCTGGAATATTATAACAGCAGGTAGTGGCTACCAATAACCGCACATCCTTGCCATTTTTGAAGCAAGCACTCACAGGTCACAGCAAGAAAATGAGCATATTTCCATAAAAGGGAATTGTGGGTATGAAAATAATCAAGACAAGTGTCAATTTTTTTTTTTTTCCTCACCACAAAGGTATATTATTAGAGAGGTCCTGGAAATGTTTGGCATGGAAAATGCAAGAACTCTGAGAATGCTATTAGCTTCGCGTTTTAGGATGTGCACGTTCATGTCACAATGAACAGGCAAAAAGATGATTCATGCCCTGAGCTTTGCTCTTGAACATTGCCCAGACCCTTTCAATAAGCTTTTGTTGTGATATAGTTTGTTGGCATGTGTTTTCTTGAGAGTTTTCTTGCTAAAAATTTTCTTTTCAGCAGAAATTTCTTTTATGTCCCAGCTGACACCCATTTGGTTGATCTTGGACTTTTTACTTGCTACAATTAACATATCATAGCAAACACTTTTAATGATAAAGAGTTTGATGAGCCCATTCCTTCCTTATCTGCTATGTTGCTTGATGCTTCTTTCCCGTCAAGGATTCAGTTGCTCTATTGTATTCATCCACAGAGGACAAGTATACTGCAATTTTCTCAAGTGTGCTTTCCTAGAATCTCTGTAGCTGATTCGTGAAGATGAATTCTGCATAACTAGAATTTTAAGTGCTGAATTTTACCAAGAAGTGGCAAGTAAAATGGACCGGTTTTCTCAAGTTTGCCCGAGTAAATAATCTACCATCTCTCTCCAGAATCCAAAAACTATGTTTCATGGTCTAGGAAAAATGCGGTAGAAACAGCACAATCATCATTTGTTTTATGTAAAAATGGTTGGCATCCCCAGAGCTTTGTGGACCTTCTCCTGATGGTTATTTTCTACCTGAGCTGCAAGTGCTTCTAACGTCCAACCATGTTTATCTTTCCTGATGAGAGTGGGAAAGATAATGAGCCCATTGTCTGAGACACATCACAATCACAGATGCACTACTGTATTCAAATTGTATTGCACAATCTCAGATGCATCACTTTTCTGAAAGAAGAATTAGGTGCTTTGAATTATGCTGATTAATGTATGATTCTCATCGGCTCTGTTATTTCTTTTGCAGGTGAACGTAACAGCTGATCACCGAATAATCTATGGGGCTGACTTGGCCGCATTCCTTCAGACGTTCTCAAAGATAGTTGAAAACCCAGAAAGCTTGACTTTATAGTCTTTCATCGCTTTGACATTATTGTCTGAGCTTTCCAGCAGTTGATCCCGAGTCAATGGATTTTGAAGGAGAGAAGAAAGCTTTGCATTCTTTTTGTTTGCCGGTATAAATGTGTTGTAAACGTTGATTTGTGATAAATAAAACAAGGTTCGAGCACAAACAAAGTCCGTTATGTTCGTTTGTTCTGAAGAATTACTTGATTCCCAAAAGAAGAGACAAGTTCATGCAGAAAAGGAATAATTTTGATGTACGGGCGTATCCATTTCAATTATTTGCAGCTGGTTTAGATGAAAGCTATCAATTTATTTAATGAGAAATTACTCACGTACGTTTAATTTTTTAAAAAAAATAAAAATACCAGATTAATTAGTACTACCTCCTGTTCAAAATACAAGCATTGTTTGAAATATAAGCATCAAACAACTAACTTATGCAACTAAAAAATGTTAGTTAAAATTGGTTAAAAAATACTACCCAGATTTCGTTTGTAGTTTACAAACAAGATCTTATAATTAGAATTGAAGGTAATATAACTTATTTTCTTAAAACATCTTTATTTATGGAGAGGGTAAGTGGGAGAAAGAATGAACGAAAAAAATAGATGAGAGAGACATATAATTAATTAGGAACAAAATAAAAAAAAATACATTAAATGATTACAAAAATCCACTCATATAGAAAACCAAGCTCATTCAAAGTTTTAATACGGAGGGAGTAATTTCTAAATGGGATCGATGATAAAATAAAATTAATAGAAGTGTTAGTTTAGATTAAATTAGTCGGTGAAAATAATCATAATCAAATTATTGTTTTTAGTTTATATCCAAGAATATCGTCAATATATATAAAATTTAAACGAAGGTGCATTATTGACATGGATTGCTCATTTTTTCCCCCCACTCATCCTCATCTAACTTTGACTGATTCTAACTGTTTTTGGGTTAACCAGTTAATTTGATCGAGATTTCATGGCCCAGCAATTGATTAACGAGGACAAAGACATTAGAGACAATACTTATCTTAATTTTTATGTAAAGAACATGGATTCCATTTCCCTCCGTTCGCCTATCCAAAAGTCTATACATAAATGCATCTTCATATAAAACAACCAAGGGAAGACTCTAATACAGAAGCCGCTGCTACACAGTAGAGGCATCAATGCCATCTTAAATATATACACCCAACATTCTATCTCTGAACAGCAGATATATAATCACCAGTCCAACCTAATATTTCGAGACAGGTATAGTTTATCAATGTATTCTATAAGTGGAAACGAAGCATTGATGTATCTGATCATTTTCTTCTCAGCTGACTGATCTGCGATAACAATCATAAGTAAGTTAAGGTCTCCTTGAGAAAAGAATTTTATAGGAAAATAAAAATGTTCTTCTTCAGACCTGAGCTATACAAGTAGATCAAGTTAATTATAAAGAAACATATACAAGCACACATTGGCCAGAGCCAGATTTTTTTTAGTAAGCCCCACTTCTTGTTTATATTTGTTCATAAATCGCATTAACTAGGACAACCAGTTTTTTTTTTTTTTTTTGGTTGGCAGGACAACCTGTATTTTATATAGCCCAGATCTATTCTGCAATATTATGTTATGATATCTAATGATGATATGATTGGTCAAATATAATACATACATTGTCTAACATTTGAGGCAACCTAGTCCACACCCTTCAGTTGTACATTTATTACTTGAATGCAGAGGATTCGGACCTCCTTCCCCTTTTATTATAACTAATCAGTCATTTAGAAAAGTTTCCAGCCAAAACAAGTTGAGTTAAGCACTTCTTGGTTTGAAGCACCTAGACTCATGCAGGTGAGATCAATATTAGGATTAAAGCTGCCACTTGCCTCGCAATGCAAAATTAGTATAAATGCCACTCAATAACCACCAATGTGAAGGATCAAATTTTCAATGAATAATATATTTTGATGTGTGTCTGTATAAACTTCAAACACAAGCACTGAATATGATACGGACTTACTTGTTTCACTAAGCCTCACCAGCAATTGGTCTCTTGTTGGAAGTGCATACATGCCAGCAGCTACTGCTGCTCTTACTGTCCATGAATGATACGGAGCACAAACCTGTGCATAAGCTGTTGAAGCCGCTTCTTTTAGAGAACTATCACTGAAAATGCCAAAATCACAAATCCCGCGTAAGCACCATCCACCAGAAACTTGAAAATAACCCAAGATGATATGGAACAGAGATAGTATTTTGATACGCTACTCATTACTAGAGTCAAAAAGATTCTCATACATACTCAGTTAACAAAAACTGTTTGAATATAGCTCTGACAAGGTCAAGACCCTGCCGCACTCTGCGCAGACAACGGGAAAGACTTCCTTGTGTTTTCACTGTCCCATTTTCGATATCGAGATCAACTATATCCTGTAAAGTGTCATATGTCTTTGATGCATCCCTGAGAGCTTGAAGCTGTACGTGTCCATCATATCATAAAAGCAGTGTTAATAGTCTATGATGAGGATCCATGGATTAAACATAATAAATAGTACGAACTAAATATGCGTAATAGGATAAGTAAACATCCAGGAGAAAGTGTCGGTTGCAATGATAACAGATACACATAAGCGTTAATAAAACTAAGTAAACAGGAGAGGAGCCTTCGGTGTAATATAACTGGAACCTTGTCAGACTTCAAAAAGGGATCTAAATTTTTGATATCTCTCCTTCCTAGAAATACGCATGTTGGTCTGAAAAACTACATATTGTGCATCCATTGGAACATCTGGTCGGGTGCATGATAACCAATTGCATTTCATAGCAAACAAAGAAGCCACAACTAATGCTTATAAGCAACATCCGTTCTTAGCCACCAGACATCTTGGGATTGCAAAGATAGCACGTCAGACAATGATCACCGTTCTCGCAAAATATTATTACGTGACTCCGATACTGCCATACAGGTGTTGGATACATATTTTGAAGCACAAGACTTAAATTTCCATTGCGAAAATAAATTTTATTGCAACAAAGTTTAAGACAGATTGGCCTCAACATAATGTACTGATTCAAAGTTACAAAAAAAATAAAACATAATCCCTGCTGCATTTGGCACAATTTCTAGATCATTGATAAATTAACAGACCAGGAAAAAAACGAAAAAGAAAAAGCAAGAGAAAAATCTTGAAACCTCGCAATCATAGTTCATAATCCACTGTCAATAAAATACATTCAAACCTTTCGTCACAAACACAAACAAGAACATCGAACTTAATCGAGAAGAAGTGTAATCGAAAGTTTGGAAAAAAAGGAAACGAACCTTGGAGATGTATTCCAATTCAGCGAATTTGAAAACGAGGCCAAGGGAATGAAAGAGAACAGAGACGTGAGAGCAAGCATGGCAAAATTTGTCGAGGCGAAGCTCTTGTTGCTTTGTGTTCCCATTATTCTCAGCCCCAGTGACCAACTTGGAAAGGTCCTCGAAGGCCTCGGCTATGGCGGAAAGAGGTGTGACCGCCATCGTCGAAGGCGGCTGTGCATACATGCCTTCACTATGAACGATCGTTGGGATCGGGATTGAAATTCCGCTATTGGTAGATCGAAAAAACTGCAGAATCGTTGAAGTTGGACAGGTCAAAAGAGCAATGGAACAAGTTAACTTTAAATTTCGTGGTGCCTCTTCGAGAGAGAAAGGAGAATCGTCAACCGCTGGTGCTTCACGCAGGTTCTGTCCCTCTTCGCGCCATTTCAACATGACCGTTGGTAATATTGGGCTCCGTCCCTATTCTCCATTATTGGGCTTCATCCAGTTACGGTCCATAAGTTACCATGTTAATCCTTTTGGGCTGGCCCACTTAAGTTTATTTGGCATTTTATGTGAACCTGGGCAAATATCGAATTTCACTAGTATTGAGTAAGAGTCTTTCTATGCTTAATTACTTTAAAATTAATTTTTAATTCAAAATATTCTCCATTGACATGATTTGATATTTAGTCCTTGTACATGTATACGTTACGTTAGGCATCGTAGGATAGTATGTATGATTTTAACAGTGAAACGATCTAATCTTGATGTTGTATATTACTACTTCAAAAAGAACTCGTTTGGCTTTTAATTTGACTTTAAATATAAGACTTCAATTTACTTTGTTTTTTTTTTTTAAGATAATCTTTGTAATAATGGTGGATCTAGCTAATACATTTGATTAGTAAGGATATTTTAAGAAAAATGACACATATTTATTACAAATAACTAACTTAACTAGTTTTTTTAATCTACTCAAATTAGTCAATTAACTCTTATATTAAGGAGTGAAGGACGTAGCAATTAATTGCAACCGGTCAGTACAAAAGAGCTTAAATTTTTAATCACTGGATGCATCGGCACAACCGGAATGCTCTCGATTTCTAATTATAAGATAAAATTAACTAATAATTTGACAACCTTTCGTAAGTGGTAATTAAGTAATAATATCCTTAAGCCATTAGAAAAATAAGTAGCTTGCTAATTTTGTCCTATAATGAAATCAGTGACCGCACATTTAGAAATTGAAAGCATGCAAACAATTTGGTACTAAAGAAGCACAATATTGGGAAAAAAATTGACTACCACATATATTCCACATCTTAGCCCTATATTTAGGAGCAAACAAGACTTTAAAATTCCGTCCTATAATTAGGAGGGAACAAATCATATCTTATCTCATGATTAGACCCAAATCTCATCTAAAGACAGGTCTCAGTGCTGGTGGAAGAAATGAAAGGAGACATAATGATGCTTTTGACAATTTGCGCACAAAGTGGTCACTGAAAACAAGGCCATCTATCTTTGTCTTATTAATGATGGGAATACATAGAAACATACAATATGCTAATAATATGACTGCGATTTTATATTATACTTATATTTTAGCTAACTAAACATGCATGCTGTCCGACGTCTATTACAAAGAGAGCACAGCACGAAATTACAGACCCAGGAATCTAGCTACACTTTTCTTGCAAGCTCAACCTCTTCTGATTCTTGCTTCTCAAATTCCGAACTGCTAGAATCACTCTTATTGTGAACTTGGATAGGTTTATATGTATAGCGTTTAGCGCACCACAAGTAGAAGACAAGGTTGATCAACTGGAGTAGAGTAATAAGCCAGTAAAAATACTCCAATTTCCCTTTGTTTAGGTTGTTATCGGGAAGCCAGTTGGAGCCATCGGGCCGTCGAGTGAACTTGTGAATCAACGTAACAAGCAGCGTGCTGAAGTAGTTTCCGACGGATATGACAGCCCAGAAGAGAGCCATGGCGGTGCTCCTCATGCTCTCCGGCGACTGGTCATAGAAGAACTCCATATGCCCTATCGACATGAACGCCTCCGCCACACCATGAAGGCTGTACTGAGGAAGCAACCAGAACACCGATATGGGGATGGTGGCCAGAGAATGATCGGCGAGGCCATGGGCGAAAGCGGCATTCTTGCGCTTGATCTCGACGAAGCCGGCGACGAGGGTAGCAAGGGTGGATATGACGAAGCCAATGCCCATACGGTGGAGGAAGGAGATGCCGCGGTCGAGGCCGGTGAAGCGGCGAGCGATGGGGATGAAGATGCGGTCGTAGAAGGCGGTGGTGGAGAGCATGGCGATGATGGTGAAGACGGACATGGAGCCGGCGGGGATTTGGAAGGAGCCACTGAGGTGTCTGTCCATGGTCTTGGCCTGTTGGAGAGAGAAGGTGCCTTGTTGGGCGTAGGCCGTAATGAGGAGGATCCCTGAAGCCCATATGGGGCCCATTCTTATCAGAGACTTCAATTCTTCCACTCTGTGAACTGTGTTTAGCCTCCATGGGTTTGGGCTTTTCACGGTGTCTCCTTCTCTTACAATTGCCGCCTTGTCCAAAAACCTACATCACAAACACAACTTCATCGCTCAAAATGGGCCTAGGCCCAATTGTTAACTGAAAGACTATTGGGCCCAAGAGAATGGGCTATGTTTCAAAACCTTGTCATATAAGAAGACATGAGAAGAAAAGGAACTTGTTTATGCTAATGATGGTAATGAAACATTTGAGATAAATAAATTATTTAAATATAATTAAAAATTAAAGATATAGGCGTTCTATATCTAATCCAAATGATCCAAATAAAATATAAACGTGATACTCATCTTATGCATCCAATCCAGCTTTAAAGAGGGTTGGCAATGATATGAATGAAAAAGGAGGTAAGGATCAACCGATACGGATATAAAGCAGAAGCACATGAGATAATGGGCCCACCAATTTGTCATGAATGAGCTGTGGCCCACCGAACCACTATTATGACTCACAAGCCCATCATAACTAAATTGGACAATCACTAATCTATTACCAAACAAAATATCAGTCAATAATTGACGCCTCATAATTCAAATTAATCCCACTGTTCAGAAAAAGAGCCAACACTCATTTAGTATTTTAAAATATTTTATGGTTCATCCAATATCTTAAATTATTTTTGTAAATACATCAAGTATTTTAAAATATTTTGTGATACAATTTTATTCTTAAAGTTTTTTTTAGGAGCAATTTAATCTCGCAATCAATTCAAAAAATCCCTTAAGTCAATATGTATGAAGTACTCTAAATCATTTTTTCTTTATTATCTTTTATGATGTCGAATGCACGGAAAAAAAACTTCACAGCATTAAATGAACTATAAAATATTTTAAGATGTCAGATCAACCTGTAAAAACACTCCAGACTCCTAGAACCTTTACCCTTTATAAAAGTTTGAATAATCTGAGTTATTATAGATTCAGTTCTACTTATGATATTAATTCTTTAATGCCTGTGGTTCTAAATTTAAAAAAAAAAATTGAGTCCAAAAAAAAATTAAAAAAAAAAAAGAAAGAAAATTGAAGAGACACTTACTTCATCTGCTCGGTATGTGTGAGCTTCCCTCCCAAAGATATTGGCGCATCAAGTTCATCATTCTCATACAGCAATTTGGGATCACCCACATTCACCTTTCTCTTTCTAAAGGCAGCCACAGCCACCTGCATCAGTCGGGTAAACGGGCTCCCGGCCGGTTCCAGGTTCCGGTAAAGTGGGTACCCGACCATGAAAGCAATGATTGAGATCAACATTGCAACAGTGGGGATCCCCAGACCCAAGCCCCACCCGATATTGTCTTGGATGTAAACAAGCAGTGTGACTGCCACCAGAATCGCCGCCCCCATTACGAAGTAGTACCAGTTGAAGTAGGTCCATGTCTTGGTGGACTGTTTCGGGTCCGACTCGTCGAACTGCTCCGCCCCGAATGATACCACGCAGGGTCGGATCCCGCCGGACCCAATGGCGGTCAGAAGGAGGGACACGTAGAGGATTGCCAGCTGTCCCGCATCAGCTTCTTGGCACGGCTCTTCGCCTCTGCATGGCGGTGGCCTTAGCTGAGGAAGTATGGCTGATATTGTCAAGCTTATCATTCCCTGTTCATTATCAACAAAAATAACAATTTATAAAAAAAAAATCATATTAAAAGACTCTCATTTTAAATTTTTTACACTGAAACATCTTTGAAATGGTAATTAATTAATTTCTGACAATAGATAAAGATTTATTACTGCCAATGTTTTAGAAGAACACAAGTAATCTAATCATTAAAAAGTTTCAAAAACTGAGACTGTCAATTTAGTTATCGCTTGTTGTTGGCTTATTACGAGACTTTTTAATGATTGAAAAATGTTTGAATTAGTTTTTCAAAAGTAATTTTACACAATTTAAAATAAATTAAATATGTAAGAACAGTTTTATCTGGTGAAGCTTTCAAATACTCTCTAAATTATTGATGTGGGACTGCAAAATGATTTTTCTAGAGTTAAGAGCTCTAGGGAGTGGCAGTTTCGCTGCACATGAATTAAAAACTAATTAATATGGAAGCCATAAGGTGAAAAAGATAACGGAACAGTTAATTTTATATGGTGAAAACTGGTAGGATATATATATATATATATGTATGTATGTATGTAACTTTGAAGAGGCATATAATAAAAGATGATGTGAAGAAGATGAGAGAGAGAGGGAGGAGGGGTCTTAACCAATTGGTAGATGATGGAAGAGACAGAGATGGTCCAGAACTTTCCGGCAAAAGAATCAGCGAGGAAGGCACCAAGAAGGGGGGTCAAGCTTGAAGTGCCACTGAAGTTTGTGAGAGTATTTGCAGCTTTGGTTAGTGGCAAATGAAGCTGCCCTGTCAAGTAGCTTATCATATTCGCATTGAAGCCCACCACTGCTAGTTTCTCACACAGCTCATTTGCTGCAAATTCAATTCAACGTACAATAATCACTAACTAAAACGACAATATATTCAAAGCCTTCATTAATTAAAAGACACAAGATTATTATATTGAAGAAGCATATATATATATATATATATATATGTATTACCGAAGATGAAGGGCATTGTGATGAGCCCTCCTTTTTCTCTTTTCTTCTCATGGTGTCGCTTTTCTTCTGTCTGCTCCATCATTTCTGTGAGCTTCTTGGTTTCAGAGTACATAAAATGGCTTCCAAGGCCAAGTATTTATAGGCGAAGCTTGGAATTATGTAGGCTTCTCATATGCAACCAGCTTGCACCGTTATGGCCACACAAAAAAAATGATTGTTCTTTTCTTTCTTTGGGATGTATATGTTCAATAATTAGGTTCGTTTGGATCTGCTGGGTGCGTATAATATATATCATTTTTAATCTAGAAAGATGAATATATTTTTAATATTTAAAAGTTATAATAATAATACTGCTTCCGATCCTAAATATAATACTATATACTAATTCTTATATTTAAAATCAAAGATTGTACACATACGTGTATATATATTTTTGAAAACGATCCTTTTTTGGGGCTTGTTTGATGCTTTGATTTAAGGTTTTTTTTTTCTCTTAACTATTATATGACAAGTTTTATGAAAATCGATTGTAAGTTATGCACAAGTAAAAGATGGTGACCAAGTTCCCTGTAGTTCAACTTAATTTTATTTAAATTAATTATATATAGATTAACATGGCTTTAATAGAAAATCAAGCATTATTGACTTGAAAGGATTTTATGTAAGAATGGACAAAATTTTAAACTATCTACTTTTCTTTCCTCAAAAGTAAGAGCGGTAGAGTATATTAGATCAATTCCACAATCAGGTACCATTAAGGGTTATGATATGTCATCAGGCTACAAAGTTATTATTAGTATTTCAAAGTTTTTATTGCAAGAATGAGGAGTACAAATAATAAATCTTAATGAATCTGAAAACATCTACTCCTCCGGTCCTAAATATAAGATGCTTATACACACTAGTATAAGGGTCTTATATTTAGGATCGGAGAAGTAATATATATTAATGCATCATAGGTGTGAACAAGTATAGGATTTGTGATTTTTCTCTCTCTCACACAACTTGCAATATGAAAAAGTAGGCTTTGTCATTTTTCTATCTCACAACTTGCAAAACATAAAACGTCCAATTAAATTAGAAAGATGAATTGCCGGTATATGTTATATTAATTTAAATATTTTTTTATAATTTCTATGATATTCAATACAGTAACACATGAGGCCTGTCATTTTTCCTCTCACAACTTGCAATAAATAAAAACGTCCATATTTAAGCTCCAAATATTGGGGTTAGGTCAGAACTCAGAACTGTTGCAATAATATTTTTTTATGTTGTTGAATAATGTAGAGTAAATCAATAGTAACTTAACAAGAATAATATTCCCTTCAATAGTATCACCACCAAAACTTAAAATTAATTTCTTCACCCCTCTAACACACAATATTATATTGCAGAAAATAATCCGACATTTTTTGGATTTATTTAATTAATAGCAAAGGGTTTGTCCAACACAGTCAAGAAGCCGTGCACTACATCCTATATTAATCTGATTGAATTGAAATAATAAAATCATATTGGTTCCTTCTAAAAACATTATATTGATGTGAATATATGAAATTAATCTGAAGATATGAAAATGATGATGTGATTTAAATATAAAAACCATATATAATCTATGTTTATTTCTTGGTCGAAATATTTTTCTAAAATTAAGTATTCTATCTTCAACTATAATGCAATATCATTATTTTAAGAAATGAACTAAAAATAATAATTTGTATTAAAACATTTAAAATCATTAAAAATATTTGAATAGTTGAAATAAAATTTAAACTCTGTATAATACGCGAACTATACACAAAAATTGTTGCCTTCTTCCATAATCAAATATTTAAATTTATATATATCTTATATATTCTCTTTGAATATTTTGCATTTTTTGCCGAAAATTACCATTATATTAATAAAAAACTCATATCATATATACTTTTTGAAAATTTGAATATGATTGAACATTTTTAAATCATAGTAGTATATGATAAATGTTATGGGGTAACTATCGGCCTTTCGTGCGCACAAATCAAACCATGCATGCACATTAAGAGATGCAATGAAATTCCAAATTTGTGATGTTATATTTTAGGCCACGCTTGAAAAGCATTTAATGGTAGTTTCGTTGCCTCAACTAATGACAATATTTTTATTAATTAAATTTAAAATAAAATAATAAATTTAGAGTTTGGTATAAAAGAAGGGACAATATTCTGCCATCTAAATCCCTTCATGATGCTTGAATCTTGAAACTTCTATGTCTTGTTTGATAACCTATGAAAAGGAGGAAAATGATCTTGAAAACGAGATTAACGACAGGTATATACTATTCCAAAATATCAATTTAATAAATTTAATTTATTTACAGTAAATAAATAATATAAAAGACACAAAAATTCCGAATAAATTAATAAGATTTGTATTTTTTGAGATACTACTTCTCTTAACTAAATTTATCTCATATTCACTTCACCAAAAAAAAAAAAAATTATCTCATAGTCATGGATGAAATGTTGAGCCAGAGCCAGAGCCAGTGTATTGTTTTTTTCTTTTTCTTAAAACTTCCTGTAATTTATTCATATCAATCTGTTGCATTATTATATGGACTAATAACAATTATGCCTTATCCCACTAAGTGGCTAAAATAATTCTCATTAATATGGATGACGAGCCTAAATCATTATATTATATGAACCATTAAAGTTTTATTTTTTCCAATTATACTATCTCCGGTCTTAATTATAAGAGCTAGTTGACTAATTTGAGGAGATTAAGGAAAGAAGTTAAGTTAGTTATTTGTCATAAATAAGTGTTTTCTTTCCTAAAATACCCTTGCTAATCAAATGTATTGGTTAGAACTATCATTGTTAAAAGGAGTATCTTGGAAAAAAATTTATAAATATTAGAGACAAAGTGGATTTGGGTTTTATATTTAGGACCAAAATAAAAATCAAATGAGATCCTATATTAAGGACCTGAGGTAATATATTAAGATTTGAACTTAAACATTACTCAAACCTCACTTCATTTAATTTTTTTAAACCCCTCTTAGGTAGCTAAAATGATTTTCATTTTAATTTTGACTGAAATGTGCTTTTCATCAAATTTGATTTAGGCTCATATATTATGTGATTTTTTTAATAAAAAGCCATATTAACAATCATTTATATAAATTATCATCTTGTTTTGTAATATATTATCATTTATTTATAATGAATACTTTATAAGATCTAATTTATAAACAATACTATATATGACCGACATGTAAATGTTAACTTGAGAATGGATAGTGAGAAGACCATTTTGTCCCCACAGAAGCACCAATCCGTTGTTGGGCAGGAAGGAGGATCGGTGCCACCAGGGATGTCTTTTTCTTTTCTTTGTCAAACGATGTCTCTTTCCGAACAATTACAAATGACGGTATGTGATTTGGAATTTTATTACCTCTCATTTTTAATATAAAAGTTAGTTTAAAATTTATTTTAGTTTTAAATATAATATTTTAATTTATTTTATCTCTTATATTTTATCTATTTTTTTAAAGTAGTTCTCGTAGTAATAGTAATTCTAACTAATATACTTGATTAGTAAAAATAATTTATGAAAGAAGACACATATTTATAACAATTAATTTAACTAGTTTTTTTAATCTACTCAACTTAATTAACTAGATTTTATATTAAGGATTGGATGTAGTATTAAAACTGGCAAAAAAAAAAAGGAATTTTATTAAAATGTTTGATTTTTTATACAAGCAGTGTATTAAGCATTTTCCATCTTTTTTTTATCATTTTATTTTTCGTATTTCTATTAATCTTTTTTAAAATTTTTAGACGTCATCAGATGTAACATTAAAGAAAAACAAAGAAAATTAGGAAAGCGTTGCCTGCGTATTAATTCATTCTCTTTTCATTGAATTTCTCTCATCAGTGTACTCGAACAGCTTGCGAGCGACAAATTTCTATGCTCCGATATTGATATTAATTAATGACGAATAAGCTCTTTGAAAATCAAACAAACTTTTTATTTCGTTTAGGTGACGAGAAAAACAACCAGTGATACAAAATATTGATGTAATTATTTTATTTTCACGTCTGTTATATGTGAAACATGAAATATATTATTTTGCAATAGTGTCCATAACTACATGGGATGAATTGCTTTTTGCTTTGTTTTTTTTTAATTTTAAAATTATTTGGCAACGATCACTTTTTATAGCCTTTAAGTCACCATAGACACTTAGAACATGCATGCACACTTTTTTTTTAAAAATTATTATTATTCCATGAAACCGTAATTAAGTGTTTTGTGTGGGTAATATTTTTTTTTTCCTTTTTGATTCTGACTGATTGATCAGAATCTTCTTTAGTCTTACCTATCTCTTCCCGTTTTTTCAGTCTCATTAATTATTCTCTTTACCCCTCAATTTATCAGAACCTTTTGAACCGCCTTTAATTTATATAGTAAAACGGGCAGTTCACTGGTAACATATAAAGGAGTGTAGTTTTACTTACCGGGTTTTTTTTAATTTTATAATCCTTTTTTACAAATTTTGTTCATTTTAAAACATGCATGAATTTTTTTTTAGAGAGGGAGAGAGAGTCATATATAAATACGTAATTGTGGATGAGGTTATTATTATGGTCGGTGTTGTTGTTATAATTATTACTCCTTCAATCATTAATATAAGACCTATTTAACTAATTTGATTAGATTAAGAAAGCTAAATAAGTTAGTTAATTATAAGAAATATGACATATTTTTTCTAAAATACCATAATTATCATTTTTAATATATGTTCTTCCTCTTCTACTTGACTATAGTTGAGGAACTATCTATAAAGGAAATTTAGGAAACATTGATAAATATAAGAAATAAATTTTATATTTAGGATCAAAATTAATTCAATAATTAGATCCTATATTAAGGAATGGAGGAGTATTATTATTTGGAATTCACAGACACACATATATATTTACTTCTATAAAGCACAGAGCATTTTTCAACCCAAAGATAGCTGTAAGAATTAAATTGCCATATAAGTATTTATTAAGCCATGTCATATATATAAATATATACCTAAATACTTGCATGGTGTTGATGTGATAAGCATTAAAATTGCCATA